TATCCAGCCAGTAGTTATTCTGGTTTTGAAGTTAACCGGATAAACCAGACACACTCGCAGACTGACTGCACAGCCTGCTCTCCTTAGGGTTAGTTAATTAAACCACCAGCAGTACAGACCATCCTCGCATCCCAGGGGGCCACGCTGCAGTGAGCGAAGAGGTGCCAGGTGCCAGCGCGGGGGCGAACTCCCCCCGCGGCGGCGTGCCGTTCTCTTCCATCTCCACCGAGCCAGCCTGGACACACGCCAGGGCTGCTGCGCTCACCAGAATAAAGGTAACACGGACAAAATGGCTCAGAGGAGACGACTAACGCAGCCCCACGGCAAGCCAGCTTCAGCACCGCAGAGGCTGCGTTCAGATCAACTCCTCTTGCAGCCTCGCTCTAACCTGCTGTTAAGCAGCAGACAGAGCCACGTACCCACTTCTACTCACGTTACGGTAAGGCAGGGGTAAGGGGGAGCAAGACGGCAGGTATTTGACACAAGCAAAGTTTTAACCAAATTCAATGCAGATACTTCAAAATGCAGGAACACTATATTTATTAGGTCAATATTTCATTTTAGCAATACAATTACAGAATATCACGATGCTGGTTACAAACATAGTATGGTTTGATGGTTACAAACAATGTCGGGCACTGCAGTCTGTGAGAAGTAGGATACGAAACGTTAGTCTGGACACGACAAATAGGGTGGTCTTCAAAGTCTAGTAATGATCAAGATACTCTCATATAAATGAATGTGGCACTACAGGTAGAGATTCTGGGTTAGAGGTGGGTTTTGTACAAGTAGTTCGATTTATACAGTTATACAGTTCAAGCAACATCTTTTTTTAAAACGCTATTAAATTAAAATCCCCTGTAGTTCAATAAAGTATAAAAATAGTACTGAACCTGGTAATATTCAATAAAATGTAGAGTTCATTCACATCATTAAGTAGTAAAGAAATTGTAAAGTTGTAGTTACCATGGCAACATCGCTTCCCATAAAGGAATATACATAAAAGAAAAAAAAGTTACACATATGGTACCTGCGACAATTATTTAGCGATCCAACACTGAACTTGTGCACCACAAACCAAGTTTCTAAATATCTCTATATATTTATATAGTATATATCTTTTTCATCTTAAAATTTACTTTTGAAAAAAAAAAAATGTGCACTTCAACAAACTCACTAAGGCCACTCATGCTATAGATACCTAGGACTGCAATGAAATATCGTTAAACAAGACCCTAGAGCACGCACCTTTATATCACCAAAGGGAAACCTCTTTCACTGCCTAAAACATTCCTGAGATTTAGGGACAAAAGCATTACCAGCGCTGCCAATTTTTTGTACGTAGTTTATTTCTAGGTAAGGGAAATTTTTTTCCCGCTTCTCGCGGAAATCCTCGCAAGACCAAGAACCACAAGGTGCAACAGGCCGGTCGTGTCAAACATGGAAACACCCACAAAGAAGAGTCACATTTGCAATGAACATTTGGCCAGTAATTTTCTTACTATAAAACACAAAGGAAGAAAAGGGAAGCAGTGACCTTTAGCTAAAAGCAGGTTTTGTGCAGGCAGCAGAGGGAAGGAGCTCCATTTAAAGACTGGGAACAGCAACAGCTGCCCCACGCTATTTGCTGCTAGCCTGCGAAGTCAAATCCGATCCACGTAAATCAAGCAAAGGTTTTGTCAATAGTTTCAATCATGTTTTAGGCACGATCCGTTTTCCTTTTTGTGCTCTACCAATACGTAGGACTGTAAAAAGGAAATCAAGTTAAATGTGCATTTTTTGTACCATGAGAAGCAGCGCAATGGCACCTTTAACAAATTTCAGACTGCAGCACATTTAAAGAAAAACTTCATTTGTAAAGTTACAAAAGAACACTGTTGTCCTAATAAGTTAGAATTCAACAACAAAACCCCTTCAAAATTATTTAACAAAAACTGTGTGCAAAAAGAAAAGAAAAGTCTTAAACAATAGGTATGGATACAGAGTAAAGAGCGCATATGAAGACGAGGATACCAAGGCAGACGCTTACTGGTTATAATTAATACCATGCTATAAAAGTGTCCAAACAACTGTTAGGGACCAAATAGTCACTAGTTGTTTTACTTCAAGTAGCCGAGGGATATATTTATTTTCAAATACCTTTCTGCAACTTTCCCCTTCCGCTTTTGTCATCTCTTAAAATCTTTGTGTACTTTTCCCCTTCTGCAACAAGTCATCCAGAACAGCCCCAGGCCTAAGAACAGCGGAGGAATCCCGGCATCCCCGTCCTCCCTCTTTGCAAACTGCAGCGTTCGCATAAAACAGGACAGACAAATTACTGATTCAAACAACATTATGCTGAAAATAAAATATTACGGGTTTAATTTAAGCAATAGTTAAAATAATCTTAAGGTGACACCTGTCCTCACCACTTGTATGCAATTACCCGGTGTGATTTACTTACCTTCAAGAAAAACCTCGGAAGATGCATTTCACTGGGTTTCCCCTCACAGGTCTCCCCTTTTAATGCCAGCACCAAACAGCACCCGCTCAGCCAGCGGGAGGTGCGTTGTGTGTCTATAAAATGCCAATAATTCATTCACTGGACCCAGGGTTCCGTAGTTGGCTGCTTGAGTCACAGGGGCAGGAGCTCTCCCAGCGTGCCAGGCTAACGTACAGCCCCCGTCCCCACTACTGACATTCAGAGGTGTATGGAAAACCCACGCTGGGGGGACGACAGGAGGGGGATTCCCCAGTTCTGCCTCCGAGGGGAAAGAGGGAGGTGCAGGGATCGCGTGGGCAAGTTCTGCACTGGAAAGCCACATGGTACAGAGAATGTAGGGGATTACACCCTCTGCTCCTTTAGCTCTGCCTGGCGGAGAGGTCATGAAATATTGACGTAATACTACCGGATCTGCTCCGACCACATCGGCACAGAGGGACAAGCCAGTTACCTTCCTCTGCAGTCGTCCAACTGGACTCCTGCTTTCTCAAAAGTAGCAAACAACAAACTGTAACAGCAGAGACAGTAACGGTAATTAACGACTAACACCACAACATCTCAATTCGACTCCAGATGCCAATACAGACACCCGAGAACTCCACTGAGGAGGTACAGAACCAAAGACTAGAAAGGTCCATTTTACGTTATTACGTGGCGAATCAGTATTGCATCTGCAGCAAGGACAGCGGTAGGTGAAGGTTCCAAGCTACGGCATGCAGAGCAGGCAGCAGAGCGTTTTGTAGGCAGCTGCAAGGTTGTTCAGCAAACCTCCTGGGCTTTAACAACACTGGCCATCAGCCGCAGCTACCCTGCTCCAGAATTCACATGCCTTGGCATGACTGGAGTTGTGGAGATGCTACAATGAGAAGTTCAACCCAAAAGTCAAGTCTGGATTTAATGCAGTCACACGAAAAGCAGGCGAGTAGTCCTACAAGGATTGCTGCAACTACTCTTGGCCAAAGTCCACCAAAGAGAATTCTGGGTGACTTTTAGGACTTTAATTCCTTCCAGACAAGCCAACGCACCGAAGTATGGAACATGCTGGTGAAGGAGCTTTAGGAAAGAAAGAAAAGCACATCCACCCAGCAAGACTTGAGAGGAAAGCTTTGAGTTAGGAGACAGAAGCGTAACCCCTCCCTAACCTGCCCCACCTCAGAAGCTCTCCTGGTTGCCCTAACTTGAAGGCAAGCCACGAGACACATACACCAGCCAGAGCCAAAATAACAGCAGCGGTTCACGTACACCACTTTCACTGCTATCACAGTGCAATAATGCTCCTCATCCCAAACACAAAACCTTGAGATCTTTGAGATTCCTTAGTCAACAGCTGGAAACGGAGACCCAAGACTGGAAACCCTGAGCAAATAAAGGGTCTCCAGATAATGTAAATGTAAATCCATGTACCCAGTTTGAAGCTTTTAAACATTTCTGCAGTACAGAAATGATACCGCTTCTTCAGAACAATTTTAAGCACACCTTCCCTGCCTAAGTTCTGACACAAGTATTACATACTTCATGTAATTTTTAATAGTTTTATAACAGGACTTCAGAAAAGAATTCATAAGGACTTTATAATCATCTCTGCCCTGCTGTATGGGCATTCAGAGATAAAAATGTTTTGCCTTGTAGACAGCTGAATTTGTTTGTAGTACCTAAAGCAGTCATAAACAAAAATTACTAGAAATAAATGAGATTTTAAATCCGCATATAATTTTAAGTTGGATTTTCACTGAACAGCCGTTGAGGAGATACTGCAGTCTAAGTCCTAATACCACAGGGTTTATTTTTATGCAAATACTTCTTTTCACATCAGTGAAGATAGTCCAATCATTAAATCCGCATTCACTAATTACATAATGGCAGTTTAAAGTTGGTATTATTCACAGCCTTTCCCCCAGAAACACACCTGAAGGCACCAGTATATGAACTATTGGCCTGTAAAATTTAGTTCTTAAGAGCCATTAAGCTCAAAGTCGCATCTGCCATTTCTATTTCTTGTCTGCACTCTTTCTTAAAGACCATCAAACAGCTTTCCCTGTCCCAAACTTCATAAACAAATTAAAACCCAGACCCCAAACAAGACATCCAGTCCAAGCCCCGTAAGAACGGTGCTTGCTGAGCCTCGGCGTGGACTGACCTGCCACGGCCACAGCACAAACCCCTGAAAATAGGGGGGGAAGTGAGAAAACCCAAACCTGACAGAATCCTAACTATAGGAGCACTGATTGTGCCACTATAAGAACTGAGGTAACAGCAGTGAGTTGGTTCTGGTTTGCTATGTTACACAGACTTTCAAATGAGTATTACCTCAATGTACAAAAAAAAAAAACAAACCAACCACCCAAAACCAAAACCACAAAACCCATAAAACCAAAACCAACACCCAAACCAAAAAACCACACAACCAAGCAGCCCCCCCAACAGAAGAAAAATTAAGACAAACTAGTGAGATAGGCATTATTAAAGGATCTTTACAGCTGACTTCTGCTTTTTAAATTAATATAAAGGAATCAGTTTCTGGTTGTACTATTGTTTAATGTAGAAATGAAGCATCACAAAAAAGACCTGTTGTGCTTTTTGGCATTTTCCGCTGACCCCTGCAGACTGTACAATAAGTTGTGTTCTCCAGAAACACAAAATGGAACTGGATTGTAATACAAAACTATTAACTGGTATAAACAAGGTACTGCCTCATTTATTAGAGTAAGCCTATTCAAAAAGGAAAAAAAAAAAAAAAAAAAAGATGGCTGCAGCAAATAGTTAAGCATTTCTAGTTTTTGCTTGTGGCACTGACATTAATATTTGTATAAGCTTACTAGGTAAAGACATGCCATCGCAACCGCTAAAGAACGTTCACTTCCTAGTTTTGTATCTATTACATGAATATAATTTTGCACTGATCATACATCTAAATGAAATAATTCTACTGTAAAAGTGAATGCAGGGGCAGAAATATTAAATTAAAGCCACTGGTCCAAAAAACTGTTTCTAGCAGGCTGGTCCACTTTTGATTTTCCTGGTCCTGTGCAGAAGATTAGCACTCTTGGTTGGTACCAAAGAAAACTAAGATTGCTGGTCTACTGGATCTTCTGTCGCTTCTAGATGAACACTGGTCCAGTTCAGGATATTAACAACAACAACATACGGCGGTTACTTGCTTAACAACCTGTCACGGTTCACAAAGCGTATGTTGCTCACCAAAGTGGTCCTTTGCCACTTTTCTTCATAAGGCAGCAGCCAAGGCTAGGGCATTCTCCCTTTTCTTGATATTTACGATTAACTTTGCTACAATGCATACAGCAGAAAGACCTCTCTGGTATAACTTCTTGCAGTACAGCTTTTATTCTTTCTACGTATCAGAAGAAAGCTCCTGATGAAGCCTTCTATTCATAATAAGAATGCAACTCTTTTGAACTCAAACAGTTTTATTTAATGTTTTCTTGCAGACTTTCTGCAAAGTAGCTTCTTTTCAAAGAAGAGAGGAAGAAGGGGTTTTCAGGAATACCAAGTGAAAAATGTGAGCCGAACTAAACATGCCATACACATGCTGATAAGAATTTAACACACATTCATCCGTATGGGCACTCTTCAGCAGACTGGACCAGTGTTTCAATGCAAATTCCAGCCCCCAGAGAACTACATGGTTTAGATTTCACAGTATGACTTTTCCCCCTGTAACCTGGGGGAAAAAAAACTTAACTGGTTAATTGACCAAGTTCTTAGCTACTCTGTCCATCAACATTCTGAGACATCAGAAAAGACTGGACCACTTCCTCAGTGGATTGAGGGCTGGTGCTTACGTCCTCCAGCGCATCCGTAACTGAGAACTGCCGATCCCGCAACCGGTTCCAATTGGCCAAAATATTGTGGTATTCAAAAACTTTCTCATAATTGCCAATGGAATTGTACAGTTTAATGAGACCTCTGTAATCATATTCAAGTCCGCTGTATCCTTCACCAAAAAGTTTCTTTCCTAAAGAAATCCAAAAGAAAACAAAATTAAAAGGTAATCCACCCCTATGTTGCATCTTATTTCTCACATCCTTTCTACCAACAACATGAACCTTTTTGTCACAGCAGATCATCACCTTTTTGTTACGGGAAATCAAGGACACAAGCAACACACAAGCTTCCTGGATGGTGGTTTGAATTCTGTCTACCTTCTCCTTTAAGGGCATCGTAACTTGTCCTCAGGGACTCTACAATCACATCATTAATTGCACCACAGCTTTACGTGCACACAATCTACCAGTCCTATAAAGGAGGCAGCCATTTTGTGTCCCAGTTTCACTCTGAATTCAATTTAAACAGTGAAATTGCTTCAGTTTTCTACCTTAAAATCATATTCTTCTGCAACACACTGTACCTAACTGTATGAAGTAAGATTATCTGTCTCAAAACTGAGCTAGAGATGCATTTGGCCCAGAGATGCATTTGATTTGGAATTGTAAGTTCACTGTCAATGATAATGGGCAAGAAAAATATTTAATAAGATTACAGTTAGGCTGACAGGCACAACAGTTTTCCATTTCTTTCAAAATTCAACTACATTCTCCACTGAAGTTCTAGCCACAACTCCAAAAGGTAGTCTAAAGACTAACACCCAAGCTTTTAATTAGCCAGTTTCCAGATGCTTTCAAGAGTGAATTCTGATGGAGCACTGAAAATAATACAATTCTGGAATTCAGCCCCCAGGAGAACATTCAAAAAAAAGCATTATACTTAGATGGAACACACATACAAAATAAAACATCTTGCATTTCATTAAGTTCTTTACTAAAACCTTTAATACGCTTTTTAATAATGTTTCCTGTAGTATTAAAACTGCTATATAGTCACACATTTTAAGAATCACTTACCAATTGCTATGGATCTCAAATAAAGCTTTTCAGCATTTTCATATTGGTTCATATCATAGTTATAGAGCGAAGCTAGATGGCCCACTGACAGCGCAACTTCATAATCTTCTTGACCTAGAAGCTGCTCCTTAATCTGAATTGCCTTGATGTGCATTTCTTCCGCTTCCTATGAGGATCAAATTCACAGAGGTCAGTCAGACATCACCCACCATGCCATAAAAAGAGGCAAAAAAAGGAAGGTTTAAAGAAACATCACTATGTAGTGGCTAAACAGTCTGTAGTATTTTATATAAGGCAAAAAGAAAGCAAGCTGAAACCAAATCAAGTTCTCCAAATTCTTAGTTAAGTGGATCAGCAAATGGTATCGCTTTTTCTGTCATCAAAGTTGCTGTCAGCCTGTCTCTGAAGGCATCATGCATCTTAATGGGTTATTTTCGCACAAAGCTTTGGAGAGATGAATTATGAAGTACAAGTTTTCCAATCATAAAACTACCAACTGAAGTTATGAATTGTGGCCACTGAAAATCATCATTTCTTGTGACAGCTGTATAGATGCCTTGCGGATTTTAAGTCAAGACCTTTACATCAATATAATCTTACCTTAAACTTTCTCATGGACTGATACAATCTTCCAAGGTTGCCATAGTGTTTTGCTGTTTGTACATTAAACTCCCCAAAGGCTTTTTTAGCTAACTGGAGTGAGGACAGATGCAAGTCGTGAGCTTCTTGAAGTAACCTCTGCTCAGTTTCCTTGTTGTGACAATCTATTGCAATCTCCTCCAGGATAAGCGCTGAGCATAGGAGAAAAAAACCAATTTTACTGTGTTCCAAACACAAAGAGATGTCAACTGGAGTAGCAGAAAGCCATCTACCCAAGACATCTCAGGAGACATCTAACTAGGCTTTGTATTTATTACAAACTGTTTTCAAACAGGTATGACCACGTATCAAGCTCCCGACATGTATTTTTATGTCCTGTATTTTTACTCCTTCCTCCCCCTGAAAGTCTTCCAGCTAAGTTTTAAACATTCAAAATTGTTGTTGTTGTGGGTTTTTTTGTTTTGTTTTGGTTTTTTTGTACTTTACAAGTGTGTTGACAGAGAACACTAAAGACCACAAATACTCTAGAGTGACCTTCATCTGAAAAAATACCAACTCAATTTACATGGCTCCTGTTAGGGAACAGGATATGAATGACTGATTTCAAACTGCCCCAGTAACGCGGTTAAGGGTACTACTACCTTTAACTCTCTTTGAAGATGCCAAGAGAAGATGGTCTTCTGGGAGAATGTGAGTTATAATGCCAATAGCACGTTCAGCATGGAATCTGAAAGAGTTGAAATAAAAAACTCAAGATACATATATGGAAGTTAGCAGCTGTCTAATAAAATATTTGAAACATTAACGCAATGAACAGATGCATTTAAATTCTAATTGGAAAGCCTGTAGCATTTAAGAACATTTTTCTGCATTTACACTACTAAATTTGCTGCCAGTACCTCAAACAATTGTACTCACAGTGCATTGTCAAATTTTCCAGAGCTGTACTGGTGAACATACGAAGAGTAAGCCAAGTCTTCATGAGCTGTAGCTACATGTATATTTTTACCTCCAAATACTGACTGCCGGATATCAAGAGCTGTCTGAAAGAGTTATGAGAATACCATTTTATCAGTTAATACAGAAAAAAACCCAAATGAATCTCTCTCATTGTTAAAAAGGGAAAAAAGAAATCTACTGGCTCCGAAATTCTGTAGGCCTATACCTACGTACTTAAGACAATAAATATATAAAAGCCACTTAAGACTCAATGCGGGGGGGGGAGAAGGCACAACCCCATAGTTGGGGGTGGTTGGTTTTTGTTTTTTTTTTAATGAACAAGCATTGCAGTAATTAAAGTCAACTATTACCTATCTCTCCAAGTTAACTGTGTGAGAGTTTCAGTAGAAAGACTTGAGAGTTTATGAATATCAAGAGAAATTGAAGACAGACATTTAATCTTGCTGCATACCTGATAGATTGCAACAGATTGGCATATATTGTCTACGTTGAGCAAGTAAAATCCATAGTCTAGTAGCGTATCAGAATATTTGGGGTGCTTGGCTCCGAAATGCTCCCTGTAGAAACATACTTAACATTACAAATTGAGGCAAGTTAAACATAATTTTAAAAAGGTTTTTTTTGAAATGTTACTTACCGGGCAAGGTATACTGCATGTTTTATCAGCTGTTCGGCCTTCTTAAATTCACGTTTTACAACACAAGCCTAAACAGGTTGAAATGAAGCACGTGAAGAGTGTATACTCACAACTCATCTCCCCGATACTGGCGCAGTTGCTAACTACTATTTTTACTTTCAAATATCATCATGGTTACTAAAGGACTTTTCAGTTATTTAAGAAAAGGTTCACAAATAATACTAAAAAACTTACATTTTGCTCTGCCATAAACGCCTAACTAAAGGGCTAGTAGTACTGTACCTGATCTAGACCAAACAGGGGAACAGACCACCTTTGTATGGAATGCTCTCAGGTTACCTTTGTCATGATGTCCATTTGAACAGCTGTAACTCAGTTTCAGAAAGAAAGAAGGAAAAAAAACACAAAACACCACAACACCCACCCGAAAAAAAAAAAAACAAAACACCACAACACCCACCGCTCCACGCCCTCCCAGATCGCAGACTGAAGTGGACCAATTAAACCCAAATAACAAGTGTAAGGCTTATGAAATGGACCTGATGACCCAAGGATTCTGGAGGTACTACCTATCCTCACCCATTCTTGGTAGCAATTGAGTTACAAAAGGAAGATTTTAAATTCACCTTTGAAGCTTGTCGTAAAACATCCACTACTACTTTTACAGGCAGGCCAACTGTGATCTCCTTCATAGCTTCTATACACCATTTATAAGCCTGTTGAACAAATAGTTACCAACATAACAAAGCTGGAACTTCACTACCTTGCAACATTAAGAAAAATATTACTTGGATCTGAAAAATACACTGGTCATTGACACTACAAAATTTTAAAAATACTATTTAATCGCTTATGTGTATGAAACTTGTTCAGCTATGTTTTAAAGGACAGACTTTAAAAGCACTCTTAAGGTTAATACTGAATATGTAAATAAGTATTTTATACTAGCCTAAGGCATGTATTATTACAGTGACTTTTCCAGACAAAAAAGGGTATTTTATCATCTTTAAGTAATCCTCACAATTCCTATTGTGCAGGACAACTTCCTGGTCAGTGTACTTAGAAGCTAAAGGAAAACCGCAGTTTTTTCAGCAGTTACACTTAAGACACTTTTTTTATAGAACAGATGCAAAGAATTGTTACCCCTGTGCCGCTATGCATTTTTAACCTATTAAAATAAGCTTTTTGTAATACTTCATTTACAGATGACCAACACATACTACCAATCTATCACACATAATTTCTTAGTGTTGGTCAAAGTACTGCCACACAGGTACTGAAAAAGATCAGGAACTCCAGCTAGAAAGATAACGTGAATAATGAGCCAGACACGGAACATCCTCGCAGATTTCAGAACCAGTTTTCTGAAGACAAACAAAATGCAAATCCCACTCACCTCATCATAGTGGCTCTTGGCAAAGAGCAGTGCACACAGCTCCCCGTAGAGCGCTGCTTTGTTTGCTTGCTGACCATGTTTTGCAAGCTTGTCCATGTAAGACTGAGCAAGTTTGAATGTTTCTTCTCCCAAGTGATATTTACAGTTACCATTTCGAACATGCAGCAACCTTTGGAAGACGTAAAGAGATCTTCTAAACTATGTCTGAATAAACCACTTCAATACACAGGAGTATCACAGATCTATTGTAAGTATAATACCAAATTGTAGAACTGGGCTGTCATGCCAACAAAATTGCACTGAGTTCAGTAATACGAAGAACTATTTACATAATATTGTTTCAGTACACTATGCTTTGTCTCTTGCATGGCAAGAATTTTTACTGTTGGAGATGTCAAGTGATTTTATGTATTGATGCAGTTTTACATAACCAATGCTTGAACCACTTCGGTGCAGTGGCTTTGTGTTTTATTTTTCATAAAATCCATTCTTCTCAACACCGATCAAATTCCATTTCCAAAACCCTGTAATATACAGTATTAAATCCCTTCTACCTCCTTTCCAAAGTATGGTGAACTGAAACAGACACTTAGTAAGTACCGACATAGCTAGTTTTCATGCATGTGTGTGCTTCTTCCTCAAACATTAAGCAGCACAGTGCCCCACAAGTGGGCATTTTTTGTTTTGGGGCTTTAGGGTGGTGGAGAAGAGGGGGTGTCTACACAAGAGAGTCAATCACATCCATTTGACATGATACCCAGCACTGACTTAGCACCACCAGAAAAGACTATTTTGTTGACCCAGTTCACAACAACTCTAAAAAAAAGAAATTCTCTCCCCCCGCCTTGCCCCATCTCCTAACCCGCTGCCTTTCCATCTGAAGGATTAAGAGAAGCTTCACGAAACAACAGCCAAATGCAGACAATAAAACACAGCACTATTGAAACACACTCTTGTTTCTCTAGAGAAGTAACAATTTCAGCTTCTGGTATCTATTTAAAACAAAAGTACAGAATTTTTTTCTTTAGTGGAGGCTGATGCTTATTTACTTTAAAGAGATACATGAGAAATGCTTGTGTTATCGTATTCCAAGCCTAAAGGGCAGAATTGTATTCCCACCCATTGCAGGCTAAGAAGAGGCAGCTGTTCCTTCTCTGTTGCAAATGCCTGCCTTTAGCACACATGAAATTTTGGTAAATTAACCTCCATTGTCCCTCCTGGAAATCTGTCATTAGACAATGAGTAATAGAGATTGAAAAACATCACGCAAGCCTTTGCAAATCAGAAGGACAACAAAACACAGGCAGAGAAACATACAAATGAAGTGAAGCAGAATGTAACACTGTATTGCAAAGAGGCCAAAACTCTGAAAACATGAGCTCATGTCTAGCTACAGCATTTTATACCTTTCATGATACATTATCATAGATCTTCCAATAAACTGCTACGGGGGAAGGAAGGAACAGTGATCAAATGTTTCTCTCCTCTAAAGCTGTTTCCTGTTACCATTTACTCTGAATAAAGATTTCAGTTACTGTAGCCATGCCTCCTGCAATAGCAAAGTAATACAACGAAGTTTGCCCTATAAATTCAGCCTGCCTCTAATATAGCCTCTTCCAATGCTCTTCTATTGAAACGTATCATGAAACTCAAACACTAACAAGAAGAGAAATAAAGTTCACCTTTTCACAAGAAGGGAGCAGCGGGCAAGCACAGAGCAGATGTGTATTAGCGAGGCAAAGAGAACATCAAAAGAAGAAACCTTCAAAAAACCCCTGAAACAAGCTACATAAACAAACACCAGCTTTCCAATGAGAAACACAGCAACATGGCTCAAGAACAGAAAGAAAAAAGCAACAGTCACATTTTTCCTTAAATAAAGTCTGAGAACTAAACATGACGTGGAAGTGCATTGTGTTCCTGGTCACAGGCGGCAGAAAACTATCTAATATTCAAGCAACAAAGAAACATGAATTTTAAAGAAACCAGAGTGAAAAACTAAGCACTTACAGTTTCCCTAAAGAGAGAATCTATTTTGCCTACACCATGCCATTGGGAGCCGCTATGCAACATCAAAAATACAGAGCCCAAATCCCATGTAATGGTATAAGCTAGTAGGGACAGCACTGCAATTTAGATAAGCGCCTGGGAAAGATAATATCCAGTATCTGGATGCTTCAGTGATAGTACCTAAACCCAAAGAAATAGACCAAAAAACCAAGCTAAACCTAACCAAGATAATATCCAGTATCTGGATGCTTCAGCGATAGTACCTAAAACCAAAGAAATAGACCGAAAAACCAAGCTAAACCTAACTCGTTCCTCTAGGATAAGCGGAGTTTATGTGATCCAGTTTTGAGTAACAAAAAATCCTTTATTAATCCAAAGGAATTTTAGAAGATAAAGCTATGATGAAGAAAAAATGCCGTAGGACGTTTATGCTAATAACTATGAATCTTTGATGTCTGCAATAATAGCTTTTGGGGAATAGCATCCTCCCCTCCCCCAATAAAATCATTCTCCAAGAGCATACAAATGTACCAAACATGTTACACAGGAGCTTGGGAAGTCTAAAAAAACCCCAAGAATCAGCTAAATGCAAAACAATGAAGTGGGAGAACCATGTACTTGTATTATGTATTTGTGCCTTATAGTTTAACATATAATAATGAGAGAAAGCAAACCAAAAGGAGCACAGCACATGCAGGAAAGTAGTATACAAGCTTGTAGAAATCTCAGATCTTCACATTTTCTCAAGCTTCTCAATATAACTTACTACTGCTAGTACAAAGAAACACGAAATTATGTCTAAATAACACAAAACTTTATGTGTTTTTAAGCTGCATTCTATTAATAATGCAATGTATTAAACTCCTAGAGATTAGATTTTCTAGCTTTTAGAGTAAGAGCTTAAAGAACGTTGTATTTTCAAAAGCCGGACTTAAATTTTGTTCTCTTAAAACTCCACCTAATTCCAGTGCAAGCACAGTGGCAAGACGACGATATTCTACATTAAGGATTAGATGGTAACAACAAGAAGTTTATCTTACTGCCTCATGACTTCAAAGCCGAGTATAATTACTGCTCTCTCCCACAAAAAGGTGTTTAGATTTTACATACTTCACACTTCTGAAAGTGTTTCAGATTCTTTCTATTTGATATATTTCCAAATAAACAATGCTGTTATTCCATTGTTTGGGAGATGCCTGAACATACAGCAGTGTCTCCTCATCCACACTGTTGCCCAGAGGGACTTAATGTTATGTGCAGGCCCCCAGCTTTCACTACAAGAACAATGGCTGTCTCTACCCAAACAGAATAAACATGTCCAGTTCAGAAGAGGTCATTGTAATGCAGGATGTTTTTTTTTTTTAGCACAAAATGAAAATCTTCTTTCCACAACTGTGTGAGACTGTCTGCTGTTGTCCAATAGAGAAGAGAAGAGAGTTACCTTTTTAAAAAAAAAAAAAAAACCAAAACAAAAACAGAAAACAAACAATTTTCTTTACCTTTCCTTTTTTTTCTATTTGGAGAAGGGGAGGGAGTTTATTTTTAAGGTAACTTCTCCAGCTTGCCAAACAGCCCGACACAACTAGGAAACTTTTTTCAGATTAATTAGAAGGCAACAGACCAAGTCCTAACAGCGGTACTATATCCATCATTCCCCAGTTCTAGGAAGATGTGTATGTGTGCCCAGTCTTCTCCTGGCATCATCTTATTTCTGGAATGAAAGCCAGTGGTAGCTGGCAGGGCAGAACCAGGCAGAGCAGCAACCGTTGCCATGGCCCTCTGGCTGGCACATAAAATAAGCAGCTACTGGCAATGCCTATTTGCTCTTCATATTTGACCAACCATAAACAAGATGCAGGGGTTTTTTTAGAGCAGTTTTCCAAAACAAGTTTTGCCCTATATTCCGATAGATACAGTACATACTTTGTTATTCATTACAGCAGCTAAAAAAAGTAATCCTATTTTAACTATACTCACTAGCACACAGGTATTCAAGTGCATACCTGTAGCATGCAAAAGAGCTCAGTCATGGTGTTACCAACAAAAAACAACCTGGCTACTTGCTGTAGACTGCATCAGCACAGCACACACCAAGGTACACAGAGGTAAGGGCAGAGCAACTAAAAACTAAAAGTGATAATCTTTGAGGCTTCTGTGCATGGCATTTGAATCTCAGCAGAGCCTGCTACAGGGCTTGAGAAACAAGGCAGGTACAAAACCCAAATGCCTCCTAAAAGCAAAAACTCTCTTCCACATGTTTGAGCTGTGGCTGAAGGTGTCCACAAGAATTGGACATCTAGATATTCACCTAATCACATAGTTAAGTAGCTTGGCATGGAGCAAGAGAACTCAGTGAATCTGGAATCAGGAAAGGTATGTTTTCCTTTTATTTCTGCTCAACTGTATTTATATAATTTGTGTTTGGATCTGGCAAATTCTTCGTATAGTAAATATAATGTCAGCAAACACCAACATGTAACATTCCTTCATATGCAAAAATCCTTGAAAAAAACCAAGGTGCTGGACCACTCTTACTGTCCAGCACTTGTTACCCACGATATATTATGCAGAAAGGGAAAATGATTTTCTTTTTCCCATTAAACTGTACTGCCAGTTTACAAGTTTAAAACCGAGGGATTAGTGTAAAACAAGCACCTTCTGATCTTCAGCTCTAGCCAGGAAAGTATTTTGGTGCAGCAGAATACTAAAGGGAGCATCTGAAGGTTGATGGCTCCAAGGCAGCTGGTAACATAATGTGTAAGACATACAGGAATTACAGGTGAGCTCACCTTACGCAACATTCTACAGCACGAAACCAATGAAGGATTTCATCATGAAGGGTGCATAACTGAAGGCAGGAAAGAAATACCTTCTCAGCATCACTGTACCAGCCTGCATCTGACAGGAAACCCCCTGGGGGGAAGGGGGGAAAAAAAAAAAAAAAAAAAAAATCAAGAACAAACAGAAATTTGAACAGCAAAACACTTTAAGAGAAAAAGTCTTGCTCTAGTCTTGTAAGAAGACTACTTATTTCATAGAACTGGATACTACATACAGGAATCCTGCCAAGGTTAAACCCTCCAGTCCTGAATTAAAAAGGATAAAATATAAGAGAGGAAAAACTCTCCTTCAGTTGAGGATGACTTTTTGGTATTATATAGTTTTCCGTCAAGAAATACTTACCAATACTAAAATTATGCAAGTCCATGTTAAGCATCACATCTGCAAACAAATTTTCAATCTAAAATATTTGAAATAGCCACAATAAGTCTATATATTCTTAGATAGGAAAATTCAATATATTTTTCTTTAGACACCAAGTAGTTTTCTAAAAATTAAATTCCAAACCCACAATGTTCTTTAAAAAGAAATCACAGACATTAACATGAAAAAAATTAGCATTAGCTTAACTGAAGCTTGCATGAAAGAAAGTATCATACTTTAAACAGCCTATCATCACCAGTTACCTAAAACAAAACCAATCTGGATTGCTTTTTCTTTTACAGCAGAATCCGATTCTGCTATGTAGGAGCACCGTCTACTGAAAGAATAGGCCAGTACAGAAGCAACTTTTACTCCATGGTCCATCAAAGCCTGAAAGCAGTGATGAAGCAGATGTCTGAAACAAAAGAAAACAGAATTTGATTACACATGAAGTTTTTAAAACACTGCAGTCAGTTGGCTCTTGAGTGCCATGAATTCAAATGAGTAGTGAATCACAGAAATAACTCCAACCCTCTCTCAAACCAAAACCAGATGAATACAAGCATAATTGTCAATCTCAAGGCTAATGGATTACAGTTGTTGGATTATCCAACAAATAAAGTGAGTGTACACAAAGTTCTTTACAAGGACACCCTCCAGTGTAAGCAAAACACAAGCTACCCACATAACATTAAAACTGGAAAACAGCATTTTCAGCTAAAACTTAGAAGGGGGGAAGCCTCAAATCCACCCTCACCCTACAACTCCCACAGAAATCGCCAATAAAAGAGCAATGACGAACCCATTAACATCACACACACGCAAACAATGGGAGGGAAGTACGTCTAAAGACTCATAGCTTATTCTAGTTACAAAGAATCTGATCTAAAAAAGTCAAGTTCTGAGCATAACACCACAAATTGGAATATTTAATGACAGGAAAACTCTTTAAACTGGGGCGATCCTATCAGCTTGATAACCCCTCCTTTAGGATGTGCTCCAACAGCAGGAAACAGGTACTTTGACTGCCACTGCTTGGGGACTGGTGGGAACTGATCAGTTGGTGGTGAGCAACCGGGGTTTTTTTGCATCACTTGATTTTCTTGTTTGTGCTTCCCTCCACCTTGTTTTCTTTTTCCTTTAATCATTAAATTGTCTTTATGTCAATCCACAAGTTTTCACACTTTTACCCTTCCAGTTCTCTCCCCCATCACACTGGGTGGGTGAGTGAGCGGCTGTGTGGTTCTTAGCTGCCTATCGGGGTTAAACCACAGCACAGCAATAACAAAGAAAGCACTCTGGGGTCCAAGTACTTGGTACATTTACACAGAAGTTTTGATTGTTTTATTTTTTGAGACAAAGAGAGCAAAAGAGATTTCATAACGTAAAATTTCATCTGTAAAACTAAAGAAATAGTCTTATGGTTAATAAACCAATAGGCAAACCAAGAAAATTAAAGATATCTTCCAATTCAAAACCTAGATTAAGAGGTAAGAGCTGAAACGACAATGATCGATATATTAGTATACCCACCTTTTATCTAAAGCTCGTAGCACCTTTGCAAAAACTTCTAGTTCACAAAATTCACTACCCAGCTGGCATAAGCGGCCCTGTTGGTAAAGCTGAAAGAAAAATATAAATAAGTTTTAAAATTTAAGACTGAGGTCTTCTGGGAAATTTAGCTTAATAGTAAAGATGACTTATGATGAAATCTAGACTTCAAAGTACTGAAATACAGCAGACTAAGAAGTAATAGTCCACACAGGAGCACAAATTTAGTGTTTAAAAAATGAGCACACAAGCTGAGAGCTCCATAGGCAGTTTCAAGGGTTTTATAACTAGAATGTATTTTCAAGTGTCTATGTCCACCTCCATCATCAAAACACTTTAACACATAAGCTAGAAAGCCAAGACAAAACCAAGAAACCCCGAAAGTCAGCAAAAAATACAATTAATATGTTCTTTGATATCAAATGCTTTGAAGACATTTTTAAATGACACAGAATCAAGCATACAGTAGTGCAAATAGATTTTATATTTATATAAATACATATAAATAAACCCCAAACCCACAAGTTCTACAAGGGGTGACTCACCAATACCCAGAGCTAAAGACAGGCATGAGCCCTGATCCCACTAATAGCTGAGCTTGTAGAAGTAATTTCTGCATAAGTAAATGGGAAAACTGAAGTGAATCTGTTCATGCATTTATTAAAAGCAATGGTTAGTTTTATGCCCAAACTGATTCGTGTCTGCAGATAAGCAAATATATCAGTTGACTTGTTCATAAAAAACAAACCATGGAGCCAGTTCTTTACGCAATGCATAGTTAAGTTGCAGAACTATCTGCCACATTATGCTATAAATACTAAGAATTTACGTAAGTACAAAAGTGACTGTACAAACATGTCAGAAAAATCAATTGCTGGCTATTAATTCCTGATATCTTGAAGCCCCTGCATCACAAATGACTGAAAGCAGAGTATGCAACCTAAGGAAGCACCACTATACACTTGCCATAGTCATATGTACCATCACCAGCCTCTGCTAGAGGTACACTACCGGATTGCGCAGGACTGTTGCAATACAACCCTTTGTTATTTTAGGTATTCTAGAAAAAAAATACACACACCCCTCCTTTTTTTATTGAAAAAAAGAAAGCAAGCTCTCTGTCAGGCAGTAACTCCACGGGGAAAAAGGGAAAAGCCAGTAGCTCACATCTCACAGGCACTTCTCTCTAGAAGCTGCGTCTTTCAACACAGGCTGTTGAAGATCCATTTCTGTTCTTTTGTGGTATCTGTGCTATGCAGAACAGGGATCAGGAAACTATGGTTTACCAATAGACACAAACCAGATTATACACTCGAGTTTCATGCCAACACGAGCTATGTTGCACTCTCAACAGTTATTCAGAAAACCCTAAATTTTAGTTCGTATATTAAGACATTCAAACGTACACCGTCCAAGATGGGCACATTCATCCCCAGAGCAATGCCCTCCGAGCTATCCAAGCAGGTTTCACAGCGATGAGGGACTCTGACATAAGGAGCACAGCTACCCTTATTATGTAAGCAAAAGTAAGGCCAAGAGAACATATTAGAGATGCTCAATTACAAACATATATTTAATGAAAATGTTAATATTCCTCTCAGTTTTAATTTCTTTAAAAAAAAATTTTGTTGATAAGCATCTCATGTTTGGTTCACTTTTTTTCTCCAGGAACACTGGAAAGAGATGAATTTGTATTCAAAACACAGCACGTGAGAACATCTCCTCCAGCCAGAAATTTAGTTTTAGTCAACTCTTCTTATAAAAGCACATGACACTGATTCTACAGCACAGCAAGTTTGTTATTTTAACAACAGAACCTACAAAAAACTTCAAAAATACTTTGACCTGATAATGTCAATTACCAGAAATGAATGTTTTCCTTTTAGTCCTCTATTTTGCTGGGAGGGGGGGGAATAAAGGAAGTCTTTTAAAAAGCAGTGCAAGATTGCATGCAAAAGTTACTCCTCAGATAAAACAGTGCCATGTCCCGGTACTTCAAAGGGATCAGAATTTCTTCTGAAGCTATGTTCTCTCTGGCAGTGAAAGAACATCCAGTCTGGTGTATTTAAAAACTACAGTCATGGTTAAGTGTTCTCGTTTTCTTCAACATAGCTGTCTAACAGTAACTGTTCTAGAAAACCTAAAGCATATTTTCTGCAATCAAAAAAAAGATGATTAAATGTTGCCTAGTATTCCATGGTCAAAACTGAAGGTGGACATCGTATCAATAATTGATGAGATCATTTCTGGAAGAAAGTAAGACACATACCCAAGCTATTTTACCAGGATTTAAGACAATCAAAAGTACTATCACAGGTTCAACAATTAGGCTTTCACTCAAGTACATTATTATTTCTTCTTACTGCCTTGCAGCGCTATCTAAAAATCCCAGAGATTACTCTGATACTAGTTTACCAAGTACTAACTGTAGTAAGACTTTTAAAAATTAATGTATCTACAAGGTTAAACACATCTTGTAATGTGCCCACTGTTACATGTGATTCTTAAATTGCTAACAAATAAACGCCCTGGTTGGGTGGGAGGGGGGAAGTCCCAAACTGTACCCTCAATTTTGATATATCAGTTATTTCAGGCACATGTAAAATTTGGCTTATGGCCCAAAGGTCCAAGCCTGCTATGTGCACATCTCTTATCCCAATTCAAAGGTAAACACTTGCACCATTCTGGCATGCAAAAAAACCCATCCTATTTTTCAGTGGTATAACCAGAAATACAGTATCTTTGAGATGTTTACCACACTATTCACCCCTTCCCTCAACATACTGGCAAACATTTTTAAGGAAGTAACTCAGCTTGAAGTCTCTTGAAACTGTTGTAGCTGTGACAGCAATATTTTCAAACAAAATTTGACATGGAAATAGTGAGTATACGTCAAACTGTGAAGCAATTCCAGGAGATTCAGTAATGCTTGTTTGTTCATTGAGAAGCAGTTGCAAGCACTGGAGAAATGGTTCTCTTGTTAAAGCTCCAGAGAGACAAAATTCCTGACCACAAGCCTTGCTACATAACACAAAAAACAAAACAAAATAGTGATTCAAGTAAAACATGCCCTGACAAGAATGGCAGAGGTTTGGACTTCTGAAGAACTATTCTTTTCTTAAGAAACAAATGTCTTTTAGACACAAACTTAACCTATTTGGAGCTTAACAGAGATTTATTTTTCTTTAACTATGGAAAAATGAATAAACACCTACAATATGACTTCCAACTTCATCAGCTCACACTGACACATTAATTCTGGCACTGAAGACAGGAATCAAAGTCTAAGTTTAATATATTGGCATATTATTACACACATGCACAATCAAACTATTTCGCATAGTTGTGAGAAAGCCACCATGATCCTCCTTCAAGATCTAAGGCTTAATATTTAACTTATAGCACATCCACCTAAATATTCAAAAGCTGCAGACAGTGGCATCATCCTCAATTAAACACATTAATAGCATTAACTTGTAACTTATCTATTACCATATCATCACGCACACATAGTTCTTCTAAAGTTCTTGTCAGATTTCTCTCTCTGGATAGATTAAGCTGAGCTCTAACTGCTTCCTAGCAAACCTCTGAAAATAAAGACAAGGATATGTTAAACCACTAGCAACAGCAGAGCTGTAACACAAGAGAAATCACTGCGCTATTTGTACCACCAGCATTCTGGGCTGTTTCACTGTGTACAAGCACAAGAGAAAAGACTTTTTCTAAACCTAATGACAAAATAAAAAATGTATTTTTTCAAAGTGGCTGGAGATTAATTCCAATCAGTTGTAAAAGGACCCTCTAGAAGAGGAACTGTAGCACACACAATTTGAAAAACATGCTCCTATTGCTCCAGTTTGGAAGAGGACTGAAAAATTAATATGGATATTTCAGTAAGAATTAAAGACAGAAGCAATTCCAAGGAGCGCCTCAGCATGTTCAGTAATGTCTAATAATGTAACATGGAATATTATGCCAAATTAGGGACGGACTGTACACTTAATCAACAAACACCAGTATTTGGGAAAAAAGTTTGGCTATAACCACAATCTTTCTTCCCTACCTAACAATGAAGGAAAAAATTTCCTGAGATTCAACAGTGCACTGAATTAATCTGTTATCAAGTGGCTCATTATAGACAGGATGGGGGGGAATAGCCTTACAAAATAATCAGAAATTTAGGTACATTTGATTCTTTGAAATCAATTTCAAAACCATCTACAAAGCCTCTGGGCAAGCACTATTTTTGTTAGATATTGTTTAGGGCATAAAAAAAATGCAAACTTTACAGCTCTTCCTTGAAAACATACTGCCAATTACCAGGCTGATCTTTATGAACCTCAATCAAATAAATAATCAAGAAAAAAAAAAAAAAACAAACACCTTATTGAATAAGCCTAACTTCAGAGACAACTTTGGGAGCCTCCTGCTTTCACACACAGCACTCTTTTTCACATCTTCCCACTCAGTCTGCTTTCTGTACCAGACCAGCAAAGGTTTTTTGTTTCCCATCTACACAGAGTCCAGCACAAAGGATACAAAGTCTGAGCCTTACAGTCACGCACACGCATGATTCTCTGCAGTAGTAAATGGGGAAACCCAGTTTGCTTTAAAGTTAAATCAGTACAAAGGAAATGAAGTGGAAATAGAAATTACTGTTGCTGAACACCTCTGTTCATGATGTGACCTCATTGTCTGAATGATGACGAGTTCTAGTGTCCAAGACTCAACAAGGATACTGAAAAAAATGGGGGAGCTAGAACATATCAGGATTAGAAAACACGCCCCATGGAGGTTCAAAAAAAACCAAACTGAGTAACATGAGTTAGAAGAATGGTAAGCAAAGGCAAGAAGTTTCAAACCAGTAAAGACAAAACAAGGAAAGATGGTTCAGTTCTAATCTAAATTTAGACTATAGAAATAAGGCACGTGTTAAAATAAAGAGTAATAATAATTGGAAAAACTCATGAAGTGATGATTCTCCTTCACTGTGAGGCTTTAATTTAAAAAGGCAATACAAGGACACAATTTAATTCAAGCAGTATTCAGTGAAGTCCTACTGCACACACTACTC